TGGTGCACGGGAGGGGGCCGGCTGGTTTGCCCTGAAGGGTGCCCCAGGTCAGGGTGGGGTTTTCCTTGGGGTGTGGGGTAGCCTGGGAGAGAGGCCTGTGGTGGTTTGTAGGTTGGCCACACCTCCATGGAGTGAGGGTCCCTGCTGGGGGGGCATGGCCAGCCTAGATGAGGGCTGTTTTTAGGCTGGCCACAACCCCTTCAAGGTGAGGGTTCCTGGTTGAGGGACTGAGAGGCTGTTTGCAGGCTGGCCAGGCCCCCCAGCAGGGACTCTCACTCCATGGGGGCCTGGCCAGCATTGGTGAAGGGTTGAGGCCTGTTTTCAAGTTAGCCACACTCCCTTTAGGATGGGGGTACCCACTGGGGTGCCTGGCCAGCCTAGGTAAGGGGCTGAGGGCCATTTTCAGGCTGGCCATGCAGCCCCTCCTTGAACCATGGTCACTGGGGGCAACCCAAGCCTTCTTCTTGCTCCAGCTCTGTGGCTGCCATCTTTGTTGGGTTAACCTGTTAACCGGGGAGTTCCCTTTTTAATGATGCAACCTGTAATGGGCGCGTATTCTTTCACTAGGACGTGTCAGTACATCACGTCCGGAGGACGTAATTTCATATTATTTTTATTTATTTATACTTAATGAAAATATAGATATATATATTTTCATATATATATATATATATATATATATATATATATAGCACAAAAGAAAATACAAAATTACAAAAAAATAGAAAAGAATACCAACAAAAAAAAATGGACACATTGAATTAAAAAATTATAAATTTTACAAACAATGATAAAGATTACAAAAAATAGCCGAAACCGGTTTAGCTCAGTGGATAGAGCGTCAGCCTTTGGATCTAAAGGTCCCGGGTTCGATTTGGATCAAGGGTTGCCAGCATATCTCCAGTGGGGGGTGTGCAAGAGGCAGCTGATCAATGTTGCTCTCTCATCTCGATATTTCTAACTCTCTATCCCTTCCCTTTCCTTCCTTTCTGTGAAAAATCAATAAAATAAAAAATAAAAAAAATAAAAAGATTACAAAAAATATATACCGGCCTTCTCGGGGCGCAACATATATTTCGTATTCATACATCCTACCCATTCCCGATATTGTTTACGTTTGACGTATTTATAGGTCCCGCTCAGTTAACAGGTTAATTTGCATACTCACTGGTGGATGTAGCTGAGGGACGGTCAATATGCATGTTTCTCTTGTATTAGTGTAGATATTTATTTTTAAAATATATTTTATTGATTTTTTTACAGAGAGAAAGGGAGAGAGATAGAGAGCTAGAAACATCGATGGGAGAGAAACATTGATCAGCTGCCTCCTGCACACTCCCTACTGGATATGTGTCCGCAACCAAGGTACATGCCCTTGATTGGAATCGAACCTGGGACTCTTGAGTCCACAGGCCAACGCTCTATCCACGGAGCCAAACTGGTTAGGGCATATTAGTGAAGATATTTAATGGTGGGGGGTAAGTGTGGTGATTGCTTGGGGATGAGGTGGGTGGATGTGGAAGAGGGCATAGAGGGGATAAATGGTGATAGATAAAAATAAATATAAAACTATGAAGTGAATATAGCCCTGGCTAGTTTTGTTCTGTGGTTAAGAGCATGGGCTTTTGGTCAAGGGTCAATACCTCAGCTGCAGGCTTCCCAGACCCATTAGGGGCAAGTGTGGGAGGCAACCAATTGATGTGTCTCTCTCACATCGATGTTTCTTCCTCTCTCCCCCTCCTCCCATCCTTCCACCCTTTCCAGAGATCAAAGGAAAAAATATCATTGGGTGAGGATTTTAAAAAATAATAAAGTGAATGTAGGATGGTCAATAGAAATTCTTCAAATAGGGAGCACAGCAGAAATTTTAAGATAGTTTTAGACACATCTGGACAGATATTAAGGAAGGTAGGATGGTTGGTGCTTGCCTAAAACTAGAATGGAACGTTATGTGAGGGAAGAGATTATGTCCACTTGATTCTCAGTGGATCATCAGGGACTGGCAGAGTATCTGAAAAATAATAGCCAATGGAGAACTTTTTAACAAATGAGTAAAGCAAAGATATGCAGTACCTGTTATGTGCAGGTGCTTGTGTGAGTGTTACTGATCAGCATATAGACAATTTAATATTGTAATAATAGGAGAAAAGCATGAGAGAATATTAGGATGGGGTCTAAATAATTCAGAGATTTGGAAAGCTTCTTGGAGGAATTAATTCCTGAGCTGAGTTTTGAGAAAAGAAAGTAAGGAAAGGCACTGGGACACAGCATGTGTTAAATTCCTTTGAAATGAAACATCTTTATGCATTTGAGGAACCCAAAACAGTGCCTTTTGGCTGGAGAGAATATGGTGCCATGATGGTGTAACGGTAGATTTGGTGACAGGAACCTCTAGAATTTGAAGGACCTTTATATGCTATACTAAAAATTTGTGTTTTATTCTAAACCTGGTGATCACTAAGAGATTTTAAATAGCGAATGCCACGATCAGATCTGCCTTTTGAAGATTGCTCAGGCATCAGTGGTAGTGGGAAGTGAGGGGAGAAAGCGGTGGGGAGGTTTAAACTAAGACATAAATGGAATAGATATGAAAGATGTCACTGTGGAAGAGAATGGATGTGGGGGCTGAGTGAAAGAGAGGTACTGGAATGACTGCCAGGCTTTGGATGTATTGCACTTAATGAAATAGGTAATAGAAGAGGAGCAGTTTTTTGGTTTTCTGAAAGTGAATGGGGAGGAAATAACAATTATAAACTCAATCTTTACTTGAGCTTGAGGTACCAGTGGGAAATGTAACTGTGCAAGTTCTGCTTTTGATGCCAACATCATGGAGGTCAACCACACTCTCTCACAAATGTTTCTTGTGGGATACAGGTCTTGAAGCAGTATGGGATTTTGGAACTTTTATGTGCTATGAGGCCCCTTAAAAAGAAATGGGGGGTGGGGGGAGGGATTAGGGTACGGGTGCCTCATAAGCAGAATGAAGGTAAGACACTATAAAATGGAGAAATAATCCTTATTACTGTAACCTAAGACCTCATTTCATACATAAATAAAACAGCACCATGAGCAACAAGTCCAGTCTGCGATCCATTAAACTATAAAAACAGTAGAATCGATATGATAGAATAAGACGTATTACTTTATCTCTTTGAAATTATACCCTAAGTGTGAGCATTTGAGGTCTTGCTCCCCAGCATATGTTGTCATCTTGGCTCAAATAAACTCTTATAAATGTTCAAAAAAAAAAAAAAAAAAAAAAAAAAAAAAAAGAAAAGAAAGAAAAAGAAATGACACTGAGTGATCCTATATATTCCATAGTGAAAATTTTCTTTGTAGAAGAAAAAAATTGCTATCAATTTTATATGCAACTTTCCTGCATAACTATAATTGCTAACCTCCTTTCCTTATTATGCTGTTAAGTATTATTTTTTGTCCTATTTTTTCAACTAAATGGCTATTAGCTCTATTAACTTAGAAACTTAGTTCAGTAAAGATATTTCCTGGCAATCTCATCGCATAAGACTATACACACTATGGTTCTTAAAAGGTTTCACCTTGTCTCTTATGCGTGTATTATTCTTGCTCAAATAACATTTAATGGCCCAAAGAAGCATCTTTAGCCATTCACCTAGAACTTGAAGTTGTATTCACGATGCATTTATTTATTTCCATCCCAAGATTCTGGTAGGAATGAAATACTTTGTAAAATCATTCACTTCTAAAACCACAAATTGTTAGTCTAACCCCGTGGTCAGCAAACTACGGCTCGCGAGCCACATTAGGCTCTTTGGCCCCTTGAGCGTGTGGCTCTTCCACAAACTACCACGGCCTGGGCGAGTCTATTTCGAAGAAGTGGCGTCAGAAGTTTTAAGTTTAAAAAATTTGGCTCTTAAAAGAAATTTCAATCGCTGTACTGCTGATACTTGGCTCTGTAGACTAATGAGTTTGCAGACCACTAGTCTAACCCGTCTCCTTCTAAGTTATCTTTCTCCCTCCATCCACTAACTAAAGGTCTAAATCGATTCATCAGCTCCCCATCTCTCACGAAAAACAAACACTAAAAACATAAAACAGCAGATCCTGCTCTACTGCCCCAAACCGAACCCCATCCTGGACTGAGAAAGAGAAAGGCAACGTGGAACCAGCTCCGGTGGGCGCCCCCCGCGGACCCAGAATCGGGGCCAGGGCCGGGCTGGGAGCGCCGGCCTGGAGTCCCCGCAGGGACCGGGCTGTGCGCCGACCAGAGCCGGTCCCGCAGCCCCGGGGCCTGGCTGCTGCGGAGTCGGAGCGGAGCGGGGGCCAGGCCGCCCGCAGCACGCCAGGAATGCCGAGGACACGCCAGGAATCCGGCCGCGGGGCGACCAGCCAGGCCCCACAGCCCCCGGCAGGCCCGCCGCGGAGGCCTCGGCGGAGCGCGGCGCGCGGGCCTGGCCGAGCCGGGGAGACACCGCTGGGAACCGGGGACCAGCTCGTTCCCGAAAGTCGGAGCCCGCAGCATCCCTCGGAGCGGTCGCGGCCGCAGGACGCCCGCAGCGAGTCGGGCGGGCGTGGGGGCGGGGCCTGCCCCTTCCCCGCCCCCAGCGGCGACGCCGGCCCGACCGCGCCCTCCATGCGCCTGCGCGGGGCTGAGGCCCGACTCGATTCGGCCGCCGGGCGTGCGACGGCAGCGGCGTTCTCTTCCCGGCATGCAGCGCGGGGGGCGGCCCTGCGTCCACCTCCCTCCTTCCCCAACCCGCCCCTCCCGCCCCCGCCGCGGCCCCCCTCCCGCCCCCCTTTTCCCTAAAGTGAGTGAGTGAGACGGGCAGATGGAGGAGGGATGGTAATGGCGGCGGCCGGCAGCTCCCTGCTCTGACCCACGGCAGACCTACAGCACCCATCCCCTCCCCGCCCCGCTGCCAGCCGGCCTCCGCCCGGCCGCCCGCGCGGGGCCCCCCTCCCCGGCCCTTCCCCCGGCTGCCGGCGTCTCGCCCCGCGCCCCGGCCGGGGCCCCACACACAATGGACGAGCTCGCGGGAGGCGGTGGAGGCGGCGGCCCGGGGATGGCGGCCCCTCCGCGGCAGCAGCAGCAGCAGCAGCAGCAGCCGCCGGGACCCGGGGGGAACATGAGCCTCCCGCCGGGGGGCAACGGCGCGGCGGGCGGCGGGGGTCCTCCGGCCGCCGAGGGCGCGGGCCCCGCCGCAGGCCCCGAGCTGTCCCGGCCGCAGCAGTACACCATCCCGGGCATCCTGCACTACATCCAGCACGAGTGGGCCCGGTTCGAGATGGAGCGGGCGCACTGGGAGGTGGAGCGGGCCGAGCTGCAGGTACCTGGCCGGCGGGCTCGGTGTGCGGGACGGCCGGCGGCGGCGGGGGTGGGAGCGGGACTTGGCTCGGAGGGAGCCCGCGGCCCGGGAGGAGCCCCGAGGGACCTACCTGTGCGGCTCCGGAGGCGGCGGTCCTGGCCACGGGTCCTGCGAGAGCCCTCCTGCCCCCTTCCCGCAGGAGCCGGCTTCCCGGGCCGGCCTCGCTAGCTGCGCGGTGCGGGCTTCCCCGGGGCAGCCATTTTGGCTTTTACTATGGCGCCTGCGGGGGCTCCCGGAGGCGGCCTGCGGGCTCCCGGCTGCGGGCTGCGCGCCTCTCGGGGGGAGAGGCCGGCGCGGGCTGCGGAGCCCTGAGGTTGCTCCTGTGTGTGCGCCCCTCGAGGTGCAGAGCCCGCCGAGAGGGACTGGGATGGGGACTTGGCCACCTTTTCCTGGCTCGCCCCCCCTCCCCTCCTTCCGATTTGGCACGTCTGGCCCCCTCCCCTGAAGTTGGTACCTACTTGCCCCTGGACAACCGTGCTTCTTCCCGGGGCTGCTCTTAAGCACAGGGGCTCGCCACTGACGGTGAAGTTTTCATTTCCTGCTGCCAACTTTAAGGGCCTTCTTAGCCGGGGTGCTGGCTTAATGCACTTGGAGTCACTCCCCTTCCAGTTCCTCCTTAGTTTGGAACTGACTCACCAAGCTTCTCCATACAGGCACGTCTTGGAGATATTGCGATTTCTTGTCCAGACCACTGCATGTAAGCAAGTGGCAATGTTTTTTTGTTTGTTCGTTTGTTTTGTTTTTTGTTTTTGCCGGTGGAGGGTCTTGCTTTCAGTTTGTCAAAACAAAACAAAACCAAAAACCCCGCACATAATCTGAAGCAATAAAGCGAAGCGCAATAAAACGAGATATGCCTGTACTGAATTTTTTTTTTTTAGAGTACCCTTCATCAGGTCTCCCCCTCCTCCACCCTCTTTACCTGTAAAAAAAAAAAAACCAAACTAGATTATCTGTGTTGTGCTTGTGAAACGACTGAGAAATATAATTAACATTAGCTGGGAGTAAGATGTTTTTATCTCAGTTTATTAACTCACAGAGGGGAAGCAAATGTATATATCCTCAGGACCCTTCCTAATAATTAAGGTGAAACTTTGACGGGCTGGTTTACCTGTCTTGGAAGATGTTGGTAATGTAAGGGCTCGTGTCTTGGATTTCAGAATGGTTACATGTTGTTAAAAGGATTGTTCGACATTTGGGGGTACTTGTGTTTATTTTTAAATCATTTCCATATCAAAAATAGGCTTAGGGGAGAGGGGGGAAGCATGTATCTAAATAGTGTTGCACCTGTTCTTCAGATTGGTATGTATATAGTAGTATATTTAGAATGTCAGTAGTATTATTCACTGATATATATGCCTACGGTGAATAGTCAGGAAAATATGTTTAAAGAAGGAGTTTTGGGTTAACTTAGTGTCCTCAAAGAAATTTTTATGGGTATCCATATATATTCGATTTGATTTTGAACTAGTAAACTTTTATGTGACTCTACAGAGTGGGTAAAGGGTAAAAATAGTTATATATATTTTTGACACGTACCAAGTTTTGAAAAAGTTAATTATAAATTAACACCTGTTAGTGAATTCAATGTTTTAGGATTGTGCTTTGATATATTATAGCGCTTTCAAAAAGTTTGTCAACATTGTCTATTTTTTAAAAACTACTGTATGTATAGTCTGCTTTAAAATACCTGGGATTTATAAGAATTCTGCTGATACATAACTCTACCACACCAAGTTGCAAACTTAATATTATGTGTGAGTGAAGATAGTGAGGTGTTTATTTTAAAAAATTGCATTAGCAAATGATTTGAAGTTTGGACTCACCGAAGACTTCACCAGTCCAAAATAGTGTTTTTGAACTTTGTACTATTGCACAAAAGCTTGGATTCTACCACTTTTCAACTTAGCAATTGCATTATTCATTTATAAGCTTCAGTAATTTAAGTACATACATTAGTGAGGTCTATGTTGTCTGCCCTAGTCCTTGCTTTCTCATCTGTTTTTTCCTTGACAGTAACAGAAACGTCTTTAAAGGAAGATTTCTTTTACTTGCTTGTTTGCTTTCAGTTGATCTACTCTTGGCGTATTAGTTCTGATGTAGCCATTCTAAGAGCTGCTTTTTGTTGGTTTGTTTGCTTGCTTATTTTGAAGAAGTTCTACAGGGTTTCTAGGCTCTTAATTTTTTCAGGGATTTTTATTATTTCATACTGATATTTTTTTTAAATAAAATGTTCATGATTGTGTTCATATGCTTTTATTCTATACATTTCTCTAAAATGTTTTATGGGATTACTGAGTTAATAGGGTTTCAGGTTTGCTTCTGTAATGTTGAATTTGCTTTAAGTATAATATGTTCAGTCTTTAATAAAATTGTGCACATTTTAAAATGTATGTGTTAAATAAAAATTTATTGGGAGGGATTTAAGTGATGAATCAGTGGATTTCAACTGTAAACTTTTATTTTAATTAAGTTAAATAAGACAGCCTACATATTGTATATAGTCTTGGGTACACTGTTCAGAAACTGTTCAATAATTAATATGAAGAGGCAAAGATACATCTAATTTTAATGTAAAATTTTAATATGGAATCATGTCCTCCTTGACTTTGAAAGATTTTTAAATTGGAATTTTGCAGTATGTTTTTTTCCATTCTAAAAGGAATTTGGGGTAAAGTCCTGTTTTAAAAACTTGGAACTAAGGAAAGGTTCATGTCTTAAAGCTCTTTTTATCTTTGTATGGATGCCTTACCTTGTATTAAAATATTTGTTATTAAGGCTCTAGGACAGTGAATTCTGAACAAAAATGCCAGTCAGAATCACTTGTAAAACTTAAAAAACAAAAACAAAAAACAAAACAAGTTTCTGCCTCATTCTCCAGAGATTTGGCCTAGAACTTGGGAAAAAAAAAAAAGTACTTTGTAGAATTTTGGCAATTCATGTTATCCTATATAATAAAAACCTAATATGCTAAGTATTCAGTCTACTGGTCAGCCATTTAACTAATCAAAGTGTAATATGCTAAGGCCATTCAGCCACTTGCTATGACATGCACTGACCACAAGGAGGCAGATACTCAACCCGTGGACCAGTCACGATGACGTGCACTGACCACCAGGGAGCAGACGCTCTGACCTGTAGGTTAGCTTGCTGCTGGGGTCTGGCCAATTGGGGCTGAGCAAAATGGGCCGGACATGCCCTGGAGCCCCCCCTTGCAGCCCTCTCCAGTTGTGTCCCTCACCAGCCCCGATTGTGCAACTTGGCCTGGCCTGCTCCCTCTCAGAATCCTGGACCTCGGGATGACGAGAGCCGGTTTCGGCCCAGTCCTACAGGACAGGCCCAGGGACCACACTGTTGCACGAATTTGTGCAATAGGTCTCTAGTATAAAAATACTAGGTGTAGTGGTTAATAATGTGGATTTTTTTTTTCAATAGATGGAATATATAAATATATATATATATATATATATATACACACACACACACACACACACAATTTGAAAAGTATGCTATTTTGTTGTATTGACAACAAGCTTCAAAACTTCTTATGTCACATTTGCTGAAGGTATTAACATCATAGATATTTTTACGTTTAAAAATATCAAATTTTGTGCCAAAAAAAGCCTTTGCGGGAAGTTTTATTTGAAGAAAAACTTATTGTATACTTCGGGAAGCTCATGGTGAACATGTTTCATCTCAAGATACTTGTGAATGCTGGTTTAAACCCTTTAAAAGTGATGATTTTGATGTGAAAGACAAAGAACGTCCAGATCAACTGAAAAAGTTTGAAGACCAACATTTACAAGCATTATTGAAGATGTGTGTCAAACTCAAAAACAACTTGCAGAAAGATTAAAAGTTGCAATTTCCAATTGTTCACAAGCAATACGAAAGATTTTTTTTTTATTGATCCCCCCCCACACACACACAGAGAGGAAGGGAGAGGGATAAAAAGTTAGAAACATTGATGAGAAACATCAATCAGCTGCCACCTGTACAGCTAGTGGGGATGTGCCCGCAATCCAAGTACATGATTCCCTTGACCAGAATCGAACTGGGACCTTTCAGTCTACAGGCTCTATCCACTGAGCCAAACCGGTTAGGGCAATACGAAAGATTTAAAGGAAGGAAAATGGGTGCCACATCAATTGAATGAAAGACAGTTGGAAAATCGAAAAGTCATCAGTAAAATGTTGCTTCAACCGCACGAAAGAAAGTCTTTTTTTACACTGAATTGTGACTGGTGATGAAAAGTGGATTTATTTTGAGAATTCCAAACCCACAAAATCATGGGTTGATCCAGGTCAACCTTCAACATTAACTGCAAGGCCAAATCGCTTCAGAAAGAAGACAATGCTCTCTGCATTTGGTGGGATCAGGAAGGTGTGTATTATGAGCTTCTAAAACCAGGAGAAAACATTAATACTGATCGCTACCAACAAAATAATCAATTTGAGCCACAGTTTGATCGTGAAACCACCAGAATGTGTAAAGTAATTTGCTTCATAATGACACACCATCACACACTTCAAAACCAGTTAAGACATGTTTAAAGATCTTGCCTGGGAAGTATTAACCCACCCGCTGTATTCACCAGACCTTGCTCCTTCAGATCATGTCTTGTTCCGGTCAATGGCACATGCACTTTCTGAGCAGCACTTCAAAACGTATGAAGTAGAAAATTGGGTCTCTGAATGGTTTGCCTCAAAACAAGAAAAATTCTATTGGGACGGTATCCACAAATTACCTGAAAGATGGGGGAAATGTGTAGCTAGTGATGGACATTACTTTAAAAAAAGCACTTTTGATGTTTCTCTTGAAATTATCGTGTTTTCTTAGATTACAAAATCTGCATTATTAACCAGTACACCTAGTAATAACTGCCTTTTAATCAGCATTACAACCTTATGCACATACCATTCCTTTTTTACAGATGAGACAAATTTAGGTTAAATAACTGCCAA